AAAGATTTTCAATAGCAACATTATGGTTAGCCGATATAATCCCAAATAGTTCAACACCTATATTAATGTGCATATGATGTTCTAGATCATGTAATTCTTTATAATGAGAATAAATGTATGGTTATAAATATGAAGATAATTTGAAATGATATATATTTTAAGAGAATTTTTTTTTTGATTTCGCTGCAGAATTTTTTTTTTTTTTTGTCATACTTACATAAAAGTTAGCGGTTCCCACTAATCTTTTCTCTATCTTCTCTTTACAATGGGATCCACCCACTTTTGTGTGAGTGTGGTAGAATTTTTTTTTTCTAAACCTATATTTTAATGTGATTTGTACTAACAAGGGTCTGAGCTTTATAAAAATGCTACATAATTAATTCTCTGTTTACATGGTGCTCATTTCTTTTTATGCCAAATGTGATTTAAGTTACAATGTCTAAGCTTTATTTATTTATTTATTTAAAGTGGTTTAATTAGGATCATTGGGGGAGACTCTTCAAATAGCATTTTCTTTATTACTGGAATTCAAAATCTCTGATTAACAAAAACAAACCCCTATCCACTCGATACATTTACTTTGCATGATTGAAAAAACCTTGGTTTATTTAATGAACATGGGTTAATTTCTCATAAGGGATAGGTTATTGTGTCTCTGTGTACTCATCCCCAACATAGGTAGATTAAAATTTTTAAGAAGAGAGAGAGAAAAAAAGTAAAAATTAGTTGAAATTTTAATATAACAATAATGGAAATGAATAGATAGAGTAAGCATGGAAAAAAAAAAATCATATATTTTATCTCTTTTTATAAAATCAAAAAATGGGCGATAAGCATTTGTAGCAACATAGGCCCATGTCCTCAATAACCATAATTTTGGGTATTAAGGCCCGAGCCCTTTCTTTTTGTCAAATTCAAAACTTGGCCAGACCGAAATAATGGACTAGAAAATGGGCCTCAATAAAGGCACTATTCGTATTTATGAATAGCGCTCATTAAAAGGTGGTCGATGATGTTGTTCTAGATTATTAAAAAAGGCCCAACCTCCAAAGGAAAAGGAGAAACAGAAGTTAACAAATTATGCTGTTCAGTTGGCTCTATGTAGAAAGGCTACGAACCGGTCCACGTTCACAATCGGATCGTCCGAGAACTCCTGACAGTGTGACACGTGTCAAACCTAAATACTATCGGTTCAATGTATCGGTGCAACAGGGGGGGGGAAGGCATTACCTGAGTGACACGTGGCGAGAATTGGCTCGAATCGGAAAGTGACGGCCGCCGCCACCGGTGTGGTGCAGAAATGTGGCGGCCAGTGGCGTCCCCTGCTTCATGCAACCGCACATTTGGCTGTCGCACCAACAAATAATGCAAACGTTATAATTATTAACCCATTAATTAATTATTGGGTGGTTTGTGCACGTGCGACGAGGTGGTGATGAACAGAAAATATTGTGGACCCTGAGTCCTCCGATATGACGAAAATGTCCCTGCCCAATCTCCTAAAATTTGATACATTAAATGTCTTGCGTAGACCCACTTGGAAAATTGAATTGATATTTATCCACAAACTTTGAGAAGTCAATTTCTTATTTGTTTTGCGCGTATTTACATGCTTTGAGAAAAGTACTCTTGAGAGAAAGTCACTTGGAAATTACCCCCTTTTATAATTTTTGAGCAAACGTGTAGTGTTATTTTTTGAGCTTTTTTTAACTTATCTAAAACTATCGTGAAATTTACTGAAGAATGTGCATATCTACTTTGAGCTTTTCATAGCATGATCTGTTTTATATGTTGTTTTAATAATTATAGAAATGTATTTTATTTGTAAACTATTTCTTATTTTTAAGATTTTACCAAAAATGATAAAAAGTTGTTTAGTTTATTCTTTTATTAATGATTATGAAAGTGTCACATATTTTAGTTTGTTTTTAACTTTAAATTTTTTGTAAAAAAATTATGTAATTCAAAAATTTTATTGTTTTTGTCATTTCTTCCATAAAAGTTTAAAAACATAAAACAAAATAAAAAATAAGGTAATATTTTTAAATTACTAATAGAAATACATCCATTGAAAGAAAAAGAAAAAAACCAAACATAGTATACAATTTTGTTGTTTTTTACTATTTACATCACAGCATCTTAAAAATAGGGCACATAATGAAAATGAAATGACATTATTATAATTATTAAGGTAAATTACTCTCTCTTCTTTTAAGAAAGCTTATGTTGCTCTTTCTATTATTTTATTTTAAAATTTCATTTACCTCCCTTAATTAATCAATCTGTGATACACTTTAATTTATTTTAATATGAACAAGTTTTTTGAAAATATTTCTCCACTTTTGGGATTGTTAGCGTTATTGGTGATTAATTTTTAACCCCACAATCGATTTTGAGACTTTATATAATAAAATGAAAATTTTAATTAAATTTCAAAAGTTAATAATAAGACTTTATATAATGTTTTTAATATATTTGTTTAGTTTCTAAAAATCCTTGAGAAAACATATCAAAAAAACGAGAGGGTGGGTATTTTCGTCCATGTAAGTGACCCTCTTGTTTAAAGTTTGGGAACCCCACATGAGCACATTCTCCCATGGTCGTTTCTTTGTAGTTTGTACTTTCACTTCTCAATTCCGTCCCTGTTTTTTCTATATTTATAGCTATAGCTCTACAAATATCACAGAGAGAGGAATCAGAGACAGAGACACACAGAGAAATTAGATTATTTTATTCATTGTGTTGAATCTGAATCTCAGGGAACCAATTGTTGCACTATAAAAAAAGAGAGAAGCAAGAGACTCTGCTGATTAATATAAAAAATAATGCAAGATTCCTCCATTTTTCACACCATTGTCGGAAGCAGTACATGTCTTGTCAAGCTCGCTGCTATAGCCACCATTGTTGGACCTTCCTCTTCAGCTTCTTCAGAATAGTGCCTGTCTGTCTACATTTACTACTGCTTGCCTACCTCTCACGGTATCTACATACATTTCCATTTTCTTTATTTTTTTATGCTCCTCTCCTTCTGTGTGTGTATTTTGGTTCATCTCATTGAATTTGTTATCCATGCAAAAAAGTGTCAAAACATTGAAATCAGGTTGCTAAAGTTTGCAGATCAGGTATATTACCTCCACAGTACACACACTTTTTGCTCCTTTTATCTATTCAGCTTTCTTATTTTATGAACCTTTTTTTGGAAGAAAGTTTAAACGATTGAAGGTTGTTATTTCAAAGTTCAAGTTATCATTTTATAAAGTATGTTCTTCGTTTACTTTATTTTGTAAAGAATTATTTCAATCTAAAATCTTATAAATTATTTTCGTCTTTCTCTCCCTCTGTTTCTCTTTTGTTATAAAGAATCATCTTATCTTAAAACCTTAAAATTTTAGTTGAATTATTTCTTTACATGGGAGCTTCTTTGACCATAAAATTATAGACTTTAATCTTTACTATGATTATTTTTTAGTAGAATTAAATAAGCATTAGATTTGTGTATACACACTTCAAGCCCTAAAGAACTATTGCACTGGGGATATAAATCATTTAAAAAATTCTCACCGCTCAAGATTTTAGATTGAAATAATTTTTTATATTTGTTTTTTAAAATTTTATTGGGGTTTTGATTGGGTGCATTTTACTCTTGTCATCTTGCTTATGTATATCAACACACTGGTTTCGATTCCTCAATTTGCTTGTTCAATTTTTAGTCATTGTACAGTTTTTCTTTTTCAGTCAATTTTCCTAGTAAAAATTGTTCGTAAAACTATCTTTTCATTTTGCAATTTCCCTTTTTTCTTTAAACAAATAACAATTTGTAAAATATGTTTGTTTTTATATTTATATAATCTTTTCATATTAAATTATTTACTCGGAATTGATTTTTGAAATATTCGCTTCGCAACTAAGCATGTAAGATCTAAGACGTGGTTACACCTGAATCTATTTAGTTCGGTATACTCAGGCACTAACAACCATACAAACTTGCCTTATTCTTTACCTGAATTTATACGCATGTGCAAGGATCATTAATGCTTGTCCAAATATTAAGTTGGTGTGAAAATAATAAGTAAATTAGCAATGATTGGTGGCTTGGTGCTCTACACTGTCTCTCTAGCGCTTAGCCTCTTTTTTTTCTTGCAAAATACGAAAGAATATGTTAGAAATATTAGGGTTAAAATTCCGAGGTACTTACTTTATAGAGTTTTTTTGTTGTTGTTGTTGTTGTTGTTGTAGGGTTAGGTAACTTGGAGGAAGTCTTTTTCTTTAAAGTTTCCTTCCTACCATGTCGGTCGAAAGCTTGATCTCTTAAATGATATGTGACAATTCCAAGAAAACCAGCTTACAATCTCAGATGTAACCTTTACTAACTAAATTAATGAAGGATGTTTTGTTTTCAAACCAAAAATCAGATTTGTATTCACCAAAAAAAAAAAAAACCAGATTTGTTTTGCCCTTTTCTTTATCATTGTTTACTGTGACTTTTTCTGATATACTATCTCCATGTATACATACGACAAATAGCTAGCTAGTGCATGCCATTATTCAGAATTATAGAATTGAACGAGCGTGGCATGTCTTTTCCTTTTGGCTCAATGTTCTTATAGTCCAAGTCAATATCCGACACAATGGTTTAAATCGTCAGAGTTTTGCAATAAAAACACTGTCTCGAACTTAACTATGTCTTGGCTTTGGTAGTAACACACACAAGTTAACGACGTTTTTGTCTATACCTTGATATAGGAGTTAATTTCATTGATGGGTGGGAAAACTAATTTAACTATGAGATGTCTATAAGTTTTAGCATCTTTAAGAAGGTTCTCGTTGATAACAAGAAACATAGTTCTTGTAAGTTTTCTTATAAAATCCATATCCGTATGTCAGGCTAGTTTCAAGAAGCAAATCTCATCATATCAAGCTTTTGAGGTCTGATGATTTGTAATTTACAGAAACCAAGTAGAGCCGAAGGATCTTGCTGACTTGCATAAAAATCAGAAGCCATGGCCTATGCTGCAGCTGGCATGCCTACCTCTCCAGCTACATCTGCAACTGTGGACATAACAAAAGAGCTGAATGGTCTTCGCCGCTCGCACTCCAGCAAAGACCTATGCACACATTCTATTATTATCCGGCGGTCTTATTCTGACAATCATCTATGTTGCTCCATCAATCGCATACAAGCCACATCAGTGCAACCAGAACTTAAGAACAACCGATCAATGGGAATTTCTCCGTTTCAATTTCCGAGTTCCATTTTTCCAAATTCTCTACGTTCCTTCTTATTTTCCCCAGAAACAAGCAAGGACATGGATATGGGGGAGAAGGGTGTAGATATTAAAGAAAACACGGTGGAAAGCAGTGAAGAAGAGAGAGTAAATAGAGCCAACTGGGTACAGAGGCTTATGGAAATTAAGAAACATTGGAGAAACAGACTACCAAAAGAAAGCATGGATCCGGATATGACATGCAACATGTATGATGAATGTGATTGTGATGATGACAATGTTTGTGTGGTGGGTTATGAAGAAGAAGATGAGCAAGAAGTGACATATGATCGTGACTCATTCTCGAAATTTCTGGTTCAAGTGCCATGGTCTGATACCAAACTATACTCTCAGCTAGCCTTCCTGGGCAACATGGCTTATGTAATACCACAAATCAAGGTGAAGCATCAACTTCCTTCTCAAGATCTTCATATTTAGTAATGAGATTTCATGTATGTTTTTCTTTTTCCCTTTTCCATGTATGAATCAAAAGAGAAACACAAACAAATAACTCTTGCCAATCAATTTGCAGGCTAAGGACTTAAGGAGATACTACAGCCTTCAATTCATAACATCTTCTTTAGAGAAGAAAGCTGAAGTGGCCAAGTTAAAAGCCAAACTTGATCAGGACTCCACTCGCGTTCCTATATATGACTCGGTAGACTCTCAAGATGGCTTAGAGAAAGGAAAAGATAATGAACAGAAGGATCAAATCAGGCTTGCTTATGATATTGCTGCCTCAGCTGCCTCTTATGTCCAATTGCGAGCTAAGGACCTCTTGTCCCTTGCTGCTAAGTCCCAGCAGCAGAGTGACAATGAGGATTCTAACAGAAGAGGAGACTCACCACGAGAGGAGGCAGAAGGAACTTCACGGGATTATAAATCAGAGGTTGCAGCTTATGTGGCGGCGTCAACAATGACTGCTGTGGTTGCAGCAGGAGAGAGGGAAAAGCAGGAAGCAGCTGAGGACCTCCAGTCGCTTCATTCCTCACCTTGTGAATGGTTTGTTTGTGATGATTCCAGCAATTATACTAGATGCTTTGTAATTCAGGTAATTCCTTAATTACTTTTCATTGTCCTGAGCTATACCATGAGGCTGCATATTGTTGAAATTTGATTTGCAATTTGTTTCATGTTGCAGGGGTCAGACTCCCTGGCATCTTGGCAAGCAAACCTCTTCTTTGAGCCCACCAAATTTGAGGTAAGAATAATTCTTATTTTATGGAGACACATTCATTCGCTCTGAATTACTATTTTCAGATGTAAGAAAACCACCAAAGCACTCATAATCTATTCTCTTACAGGGCACGGATGTTCTTGTTCACAGGGGAATTTATGAAGCTGCAAAAGGAATATATGAGCAATTCATGCCGGAAATAATGGACCATTTGAAAAGACATGGGGATCGTGCAAAGCTTCGATTCACAGGGCACTCCCTTGGGGGTAGTCTATCTCTTTTGGTTCATTTGATGCTATTGACTAGGAATGTTGTCAGTCCCTCAACTCTATTACCAGTAGTGACTTTTGGCTCACCATTTGTATTCTGTGGAGGCCGAAAATTAATCGATGAGCTAGGCCTGGATGAGAGCAACATCCACTGTGTGATGATGCATAGAGATATTGTTCCCAGGGCTTTCTCCTGCAATTACCCTGACCATGTAGCTGTAGTCCTTAAGCGCTTAAACAGCACATTTAGGTCACATCCTTGTTTAATGAAAAACGTAAGCATCATCGTTCTATCGGTTCTTCCATAACACTCGTGAGAAATTTAGTTTCATGCATAATTCGGCTGGCAGGTTCATATTGTTTTCTGCATGCATGGCCCGGGGTCGAAACTTGAAATTTGGGCTTGTGGGACAAAAATCATAAACTCATAATGAACTTACTGAATATATATTATGAAGGACTACTGTCAGATTTTTTTGACCATTTACTTTCTATGGATTTTTTCAGAAGCTATTGTACTCACCATTGGGTAAAATATTCATTCTCCAACCCGATGAGAAGACATCTCCTCCGCATCCTTTACTCCCCTCGGGAAGTGCCTTCTATGCCCTGGACTATACAAGATGTGGATACTCTCCAAGTGTTCTTAGAAGCTTCCTCAATCAACCACATCCCATTGAAACACTTAGTGATCCAACAGCATATGGTTCAGAAGGCACAATCCTAAGAGACCACGACTCGAGCAACTACCTCAAAGCTGTCAATGAAATCTTAAGACAACATTCAAAGATTCTTGTTCGCAGAGTAAGGAAGCAAAGGATTAACGAATTGTGGCCACTGCTGACTTCACCATCTCCACACTCGTGGAGCCATGAGCAGAACTTGGAGAAATACAACTTGATGACAAAGGAGATAGTGACGGGGGTCTAAAAAGCCTTTCTTGCGAGGTTCCTACAGATCTTGATAAAATTAAATCATGAAATTAATTAGTTAGCGATGTACATCATTTTGTTTTTAAGTACATTTCTAAACATCTAACTAGTGTCTTGTATCCATCACTCCATATTTGATTCACATTGTGCATAAAATGTAAATAATTCCAATAGAAAATAAAATAAAAACTTTCTACTGATTTTTCCTGCATGACACCTACGAGCAAGAGAACACTTAATGGCATGGAAACCATCCGAACCATCTGCTAGCCTAGCGTAATGTAGTCTGTACAGTGAATAAAAACTCAAGGCAAAAAAATACCTTCACCTAAGACTAAGATAATCTTTTCGTGAAAACAGTATAATCTATTTCAATTATCAGGAATAAAAATACATACGTGATTATATGTAATAGAGGCACAATTCTAAATAAGTTGCCGACAAAGCGGCGATTTATCATGGTGCAACGATCCAATCCTAAATTGCACCGAAGCAACGAAATATTCTAACCTGAGGCAGGTAAACAAACCACAATAAATGTGAATGACTTCATAAGCTTTTTCTGTAATGTAGATTCCACGAAGCAATCTCTTGTTATTCTCATCGAGAATGGTAAGTATTAAAATTAAAAACATCTATTCAATCTTTTCACCAGATTATCTTAACATATCTACTGCGAAGACAACATATTTGATTGAAGTCTTGCCAAATCTACAATGAAGACCAAAAAGTGCTACAATAAGAACTGTGATATTGAAGGTCGTTCTATTCAAAACTAGTCAAGTATCAAAGTGAGTTACACTGCAAAAAGAACCACATCATGTACTACTAACGTGCTATTTAATACAAACAGATAAATGTCTTTCACAATCAGACATTCCGGGATTTATTAGTAAAAGAAATACAACACTATAAATCAGACCTAACCCCACTACGCAAACCTCTTTCTGTTATCAACACATTACACAGCGTTACTCTTAAAGACGGAAAAAAAATGGGGAAAAAAAAAAAGATAACTTCTACTAAGCAAAGATCCATGGATCCTATCGAGTGAGATTATTTACCCTCAGCCATCTTCCTGCGTATCTCATGAGCAACATTAAAAATGCCAAGCGTTGGCTGGTTGCAGACAAAACACTTCTTATTCTTAGCATGATGCTGTCAATAAAAAGAACAGAAAGTTAGACATGATTAAATAGAAATAAATGAAGCATTACTACAGTAGACACGTCACAAGCATAAACCAACACATCCTTGTGCTTATGCCCAAAACACAAAAATAAAAGAATACCACATAGTATTAATTATGACTGATAAATCTACAAATCTTTCAGAGATGAATAATCTAATCAACCATATATTTTATAACAACTGAAACCAAATATAAACAAACTAGAATGAGTAAATAAAATCTTAATTATAAATAGAGTCACATAATCAAAACACTAAATAGCTTCAAACTGTTACCAATTGAAACTTATTTGCAACAACTGTAAGGCTATACCTTCAATGCACAATGCTCACAGAAGAAGTGCTTGCACTTGGTTACAACAGGATCAACAAAAGGCTGTCTACAAATGAAACATGCAAATGGTAATGCATCATCATCTTCTTCATCAGTCAAATTAGCACCCTCCTCATCCGGATCCGCATCCTCGCCTGCAGCCAATCTCATCTTTCTTGCTTTCTCAGCTTCTTCCCATTCCTTCTCCATCTGCCACCCAGACTTGTAATCCCCTCGATCATGCATAAACTTGCATGCATCCCCATACCCACAGTAACCAGTCTCCTTGTAATCCTTACATATGTCAGGCTGATAATCAAATCTTGCTGAAACTCTTATATGAGCTGAAGCCCTGAGAGGACCATGTGCTCCGCCAGCTTTTTCACTAGCAATTGTTTGCTCCCTACGAAAGCCAGCCTTGTGGTCTTTGTAACTGTTCATTCCCTTATATAATTTTCCATCTTCAGAACTTGTGCCTTTTCCCTTCAGGCTCTCCACTGCTTGCTTAAGAGCTCTTTCACGGATGGCACGAGCATCTTTTGAAAACTCAGTTTCAGTCTCCAGAGTTGCTGTTGCTTTGTTATCATGTTGAACTTGAATCTCTTTGGAAGACTCAAAATGAAAAACTGGTTTCCCAGACTCTTCACTTGGTTCAGCAGATGCTAAGCTTTTTGAGGAGCCCGAGGAAAAGTACAACTTATTGTCAGGCTTCAAAGTCTTTTTCTGAATATGCAGCAAAGAGCTTTCATTGTTTGAATCCTCCTCGTCATCTTCATTATCAACAGCACGCTTCCTTAAATTCTTCTTATTAACCGGTTTTCTGAAGAAGCTACACACTAAAAATAAACAAAATATAGCAAAGAATAAAAGAATTGAAGATAGTAACAAGCACAAAAGCAGAGAGCAAAGGCAAAGAAGATTAATGTAAAGACAAAGATTTAACAAATTATAGATAAAATAAGCAGACATACCTTGTTCAGATTGCTGGGTTTCAGCAGATTTGGCGAGTTCATCAGAATCTGCCATACTTAGAATTTGATTTATGCAGCAGCTGTCACAATTAAACATCCGAATCAAAATGAGAAATAAGGCTAGACCAGATTTATGAATCAATCGTAACGAATTGAAAATTTTCTAAGTCCTAAGCTGACCAAACGTTAACAGTCTGAGAAAATCTACACAACAGAAAATTCATAAATTGCAGAAAGGCCCATTAAATAAATCACATTCTGTACAAGCATAAATTAGGGGAGGAAAAGAGGAACTTTAGTCACAGCAAGTTGAGAGAAAGAATGAAATATCAGAGAGGAGACATATATTAGTAGAGCTACTTAAAATCGTGACCATAGAACAGAGATGCACCAAACACAGATACAATCATAAATGCACACAAATTTCAGCAAGTGGTATGCGTAGGACTCTGTATAAGTATATAATAATAGTGAACTCAATGAGTATAATCAACAATGAAAGCAATAATGAACGAAAATAATAGTTTCATATCAATACATTGATTCTCCGAATAATCGGACCATAAAAGTTCCAAGAAAGAAAGGAAAGGGGATGAACCGTACAGAGAGCAGAAATGAGGCTTTCAAATCGCGTGAAGTGAGACAGAGGAACCGTGAAGAAGAATAAAGGTCGGTGTCGGAGAGGTTCCAGTAGAGGACGAGTTCGTCGATGACGGCGAGGTTGTTGCTTGCGTGTCTTGGTGAAACCCGAGAAGATCTTCTTCACATCGCTCTTCGCCTTCTTCTTTATCAACCGGCCCAGTTTCGTGAAGAAACCGGCCTGACCGGGCGAGCACCTGAACCGGGTAGAACCGGATCTAGAATTAGTGGTTCCGGTTCGATGAGGGAAGTTGAAGAGAGGATAAATTGCGAGCATTGAGCATGGGCATTGGGCAGCAAGCCAGTCCGCAATACCGTTAGCCTCCTTGACGAGCGATAAGGGTTTTGGGAAGATCTGACATGACAATATGGATTGAACTCGACACGTCAACCCGTTAACTCGTTAAAATAGGGCGGATTGGGTTACATAATTTAATCCATCAATTCGTCTCAACCCGTTCCGTTGAGTTGTGGGTCAAAACGGATTGGTGGCGGGTCAGCCCGCCAGGTCAATTTTTATTTTTATTTTTTTACTATTAGGTAGTTTTTTTTTTTTGAGTTTTTATGATATCCAATTTTTTTGTTATCTTAGTATTTTCTAGAAGAAATATAGAAGAAAAAATTTATTTATAACAAAGGTATTTATGTATGGAAATAAAAACAAGTTTGTAAAGAATATCTGACTAAATATTAACATACATTTTGACTTAAGATTAAAAAAAACTAAGGAAAATGTGATATGAAAATAAATAATATTAATAAATAATTATTTATTTTTTATTATTTTTTATTTTTTATTTTTTAAACGAACACCCACCAACCCACCATAAAATGAAGCGATGTGAGTTGAGGTTTTCAACTCAAATTCAAGAGGCGAGGCGGGCCAATCCACTTTTGACGGGTCGGGGCGAGCCGATCTTTGGGATTGGGCAGGAGGTTTAAGACTAGGGTTGATTTACTATTACATCTTATTTTCCACCTTTTATTTGCTATATAAATTAAAAATTATTCTTATTTATATTTTGGATTTATTTTTTCTAAAGTTACTTTAGATAACTTTATCCAATGTTCATCGAAACGACATCGTTTTAGAACGAAAATCACGATGTTTTTATACTTTTAATTTATTTCAAGATTATAATAGTCTTTATCATTCTAATTTTTTAATTTCAAAACGACGTTGTTTCGATGAATATTAGATAAAATTGTCTAAAGTAAATTAGATATTTTTTTCTTATATTTTATATAAAAAACTATTCTTAACTCACATTTTATCTGAGTTCATTCTCTAATGTTAATCTTCAAAATTTACTACTACTAAGAATACATTAAAATTTAAAAACTTTATAAATATATGATTGCGAGAAGCATTGCCTCATGAAAGATGAGCTATTATTTTATGAAAATGGGCTGGATCATTTCTCTCGACAAGGCCCGTTAACATTCACAAAAAAGGCCCATTAAGAAAAAAAAAGAGATTTGCCCTCCCTGTTTCTTGTTTCTCTTTCTCTGCTTGTTCTCTCTCTCTCTCTATCTTTCTTCCCAGATTCTATCATATCACCCTCTGTTTGCCAATAAATTTCGCATTTCAAAATCCTTAAACCATCACAACACTCTCAACTTCAACACCCATTCTCTTCCTTTCATTTGTATTTTCTACCCTCCATCAATCCCCAGCACCACTCTCCCCCTCTCTTTCTCTCTCACCCAAGGCCTGTTTTTGATCGGTGCCCAACTCCCCTTAGCCATTGGATTTGATGCCCAGCATCTGTTCCCAGCATTTCCACATTTTCCCACTACGCTCCTTCCATCGCTGTTGGTATGCCCCACACTTGAACTGTTTTGGGAATGGGATTCACCACTTTCCATTAGGGTTTTAATCATCTTAACTAGTATTATGTTGATTTTAGAACTTAATTTTTTCAGTTCCATATTGTTTTTCAGGTTCCCCCTTTCCGGATTCATTAACTATTGTTCTCGTATTTTAGTTCATATTTTTAAATAATCGATTTTTTTATTTTTATTTTTTGCTCTTTTTTTGGATTCAGTTATTATTATTTGCGCACTCTGAAATTGTTTAGGGTTCTGTGTGTTTGTGTTAATTTGGGAAAATACCTACCATTGGTTACGTGGTACTTTATTGCTCTTGCCATTTGTTTTTACTTCAGAGGGAATAAAAATGCTTAACTTTGTGTTGTTTGTTCTGCACTAGAAAATTTCCCTTCGGACGAAACCAGAAAGGTTGTCATGTGTTGCTTTTGTCAGTTCCATTAGTTGTGTGGTGGTGTATTGGCTTGGGTTGGTTGGTTTACTAAGAAGTATTCGAACGGAAAGCTTAGGCTTGCATGGGCGAGCATGAGCCACCAAGTGGGATATTGCCAAATGGCCTGTTTCCCAATGAAGCCGCATCGGTGATGCGAGTGCTTGACATGGAGCGGTGGTTGAAGGCTGAAGAAAGAATTGCAGAGTTAATTGCCTGCATTCAGCCTAATCCACCCTCTGAGGAGCGCCGGAATGCAGTTGCGGATTATGTGCAGCGGCTGATCATGAAGTGCTTCCCTTGCCAGGTGGGTCTTATGTGCAGAAACAAATATAATCTATATCTGTTCTGAAATTGTGGATGATTGTTCGGTCAAGAAGTTTAGATTACCATGCACTATTTAGCTGCGTTATCCTATGATATGTAATGAAGATAGCTAGGATTACGCATGACTATTTATGATTACAGGTGTTCACCTTTGGATCAGTACCCCTCAAAACTTATTTGCCTGATGGAGATATTGACTTAACAGCATTCAGTAACAATCAAAATCCGAAGGACGCATGGGCACATCAGGTTCGTGACATGCTCGTGAATGAGGAAAAGGACGAAAATGCAGAGTTTCGAGTCAAAGAAGTTCAGTACATCCAGGCTGAAGTAGGTTCTATAATGACAAAGCATCTTTAAAATTGTTTGCAGTATTAATTAATTAATCATGGGTATAAAAAAAGTTTTGAGGTGTTATTGTGGAAGTGATAAGACTTTAAGTGGTCGTGTAGAAGCTCTAGGTCATTAACCTGATAATGGATGAGGTCAATGGATAATAACCATGAAATACAAATTTTTAAGTTGTATTATATGACTCTGATGAAAAAGGACTGGTTTATTATGAAATGTTGACCTTTACCAACTCATATGACTTTACTAGGTAAACTATTGCTAGCTCGAACAACCCATAACTTGATTACTAAATATTTTAAACTTCAGAGTTTTGGTCAAAGTGTGTTTAACATGTATTCAAAAAAATGTAAAAGTCAAAATATTGAGGTATAAGCTAATTGTTTTATAATTCTTATTAGCTGCCTGGCTTAAATTAAGCTTGTCTTAGACAGTTAGTTTTTCCTTTGTTTTTTGGCCATCTACTGGTATTGTAGAATTCGTATTTTACATTGTTTTTCTTCATATTTACAGGTGAAGATTATAAAGTGTCTTGTTGATAATATTGTGGTAGATATTTCGTTTAACCAGCTTGGAGGATTGTGTACCCTTTGTTTTCTTGAGGAGGTAATTTGGGGAATCACAGAAGTCTCATTGCATCTTTCTCTTTGAATTTTGACCTTGATACTTGATGCTACTTTTTCTAGTATTGACAAGAATTTTATTTTTTCTGCTGTAGGTTGATAGTTTGATTAACCAAAACCATTTATTCAAGCGTAGCATTATACTTATAAAAGCTTGGTGTTACTATGAGAGCCGTATACTTGGTGCCCACCATGGACTCATCTCAACTTATGCGTTAGAAACCTTGGTTCTTTACATATTTCATGTTTTCAACAATTCCTTTGCTGGACCACTTGAGGTAGCAAATAATTAAATGTCTTTTCATTTGTGTTTTTTAGGTGATCCAATTGATTTAGTGTTTTGTTTGCTTATGTAGGTATTGTATCGGTTTCTGGAGTTTTTTAGTAAGTTTGACTGGGATAATTTCTGCGTAAGCCTATGGGGTCCAGTACCCATTAGTTCGCTGCCAGATGTGACAGGTAATTACAATCTGATTGAAGATCCGTTTTTAAATAATTATATAGCTCCATCTTGCTCATTGTTTTCCTCCTTCCCTCCGTCAACGTATTCCACAGCTGAACCTCCTCGGAAAGATGGTGGAGATTTACTGCTTAGCAAGTTATTTCTTGATGCCTGTAACTCAGTTTATGCTGTTTGCCTTGGTGGCCAAGAAAATCAGGGGCAACCCTTTGTTTCCAAATATTTCAATGTTATTGATCCTCTGCGTGTCAACAATAACCTTGGGCGAAGTGTCAGCAAAGGTGTGCTCTTGAAATTTGGATTTGGTTGATTTTATGCATTTGTATTACTTTTTCTCAGATTATAATTTGGACCGAGTTGGTTTATGTGCGGATCTGATTCTGTTACTAGGTTTTAATATGACAAGTGAAGCATTTAAAGAATTAATTAAAGATACATTTGAGCTATTGTTACCATCTTTGAACCAGCATGCATCTTTTTTACTTTATTTTGGTACCCATTTGGGATTTGAAAAATTAAAAAAAATTGAATCTTCAATATATTTTTCTTATTATGATGAATGGTAAAAATTATGGGAAATTTATGCATACTGGGGAATATTAGCTCTTTATGGCTGGGATTATTCTTGTATTGATATTAGTAGGTTATTAGTTTCCCTGAACTATCTGTCTGCATTGGTTATGGCTAATAACTTCATTTATGATATGCATGAACCAGGAAATTTCTTTAGAATACGCAGTGCTTTTTCTTTTGGGGCCAAAAAGCTGGCTAGATTGCTTGATTGCCCAAAGGAGGAATTGTTTTTAGAAGTCAATCAGTTCTTTATGAACACTTGGGACAGACATGGAAGTGGGCAGCGGCCTGATGCTCCAAACAATGACTTATGGAATTTGAGGTTATCTAGTCAGGACCAATTACAGGGGTCTGAGAATCTCTGGAAAAATAGCCAAAAAATTGACAGTGCTTCTAATTGTGAATTTCAAATCAAAGGGGCACATGCTTCACAAAGTGGTCTATCTCACCACCATAATTTGTCCTCTGAAAGCTCATCTAAGAGTAGTGATGTTTCTACAATACCTCATTCTTATGCCAACCACAATAATGCAAGGACCTTTGATCAGGTCCGAAGGGAAGCTAATTGCAATCAAGGTGCTCATGTTGAGAAAGGTAGAAGAAATGTTAAACCTGATAACCCCCTGGGTGATGTTCCGGGAAGGTTTTTATTTGCAAGAACACGTTCTAGTCCTGAGCTGACTGACTCATATGGTGATGTTTCTTCACAAGGAAGGCGTACAAGAACCCCAGAAAGTGGGAAAGGCCTAAATTCCTCCACAAAGTTAGAGAATATTCATAGGAAGCATCTTGATTCTGACACGGCTGTAAGTTATGGTGTTAGAATTGACAATTCATCTGCTAGGCACATATTGTCTCATCAAGTTCTTGATAGTGCTACTGATTCAAACAATGGTTCAAGTAGTTATGATGATGAATCAGGCTCTGGTGTCATGGGTGAAGAGTATGCATCTGTTGCAGCAGGAGGTGGAACACACATGATGCATCAGGAGGAGCAGGATCTTTTGAACATGATGGCATCTACCACAGCTCAAGGTTTCACTGGTCAGGCTCACATTCCGGTGAGTTTAGCTCCAGGTCACCTACCACTTCCATTTTCACCTTCCATTATTGCGTCAATGGGATATGCTCAGAGAAACATGGGTAACATTCCCTTGATCCAGGCTTCTTGGGGTACTAATATGCAATTTCCCCATGGTTTAGTCCCTTCACCATTGACTCCATATTTGCCTGGCATAGGATTGACCTCAAATCCTGAAGATTTAACTGAAACTGGTAATGAGAATTTCAGTTCTGTTGAAACGATCCCAGCAGAAGCTGACAATGATTTCTGGCATGATCAAGAAAGGGCTTCTACTAGTGAGATTGAAGTTGATGATGGAAATTTTGAAATGCTTCCAGATGATAAGCAACAGTCAACTTCAGGTGGTTATAACTTTGTCCCATCATCTCATGATGGCAGCTCTAGTAATTCTGCTAGACTTCAGCCAAAGTTTACTAAAGAAAACAGAGGTTCAACAAGAGAAGAGCACAAAGATACTTCTCAATATCAAGATGGCAGAGGAAATGACGTTTATTTTGATGATAGAATAGCAAATTCTAGGTTGTATGGTGCACCACCTTCAAGTTCCTTCAGGAGTAAGACATCTTCTGGAAGCTCTTGGGAAGGATCATCACCAAAATCGTCAAAACCAACCAGGGATAAAAGAGGGAAGAAAAATACTCCCTCAGTGTCGTCTACTGTTTACGGGATGGGCAAGAATGCCTCAGATATTTCATCTAAACTAGAGGATGATGAAAACAGACAGTGGACTTCTTTGTCAACTGTGGCATCCGATATGTCAGAAAGAAGCACTGGGTCACTGGCTGTTACTCCCATGCATGTTCCAAGGCAGCAATTATCTGGTTTTGAAGCAGCTCAGACAAGTGGATCAGAGTCTCTGTTACCCATAGCTCCAGTGCTTCTAGGTCATGGCTCTCGCCAAAGAGCAATTGATAATTCTGGGGCTGTTCCATTTACATTCTATCCTACAGGGCCACCAGTACCATTTGTTACGATGCTTCCATTATATAATTTTCCTACTGAATCTCCTGATACATCAGCAAGCAGTTTCAATGTGGAAGAAAGGGTGGATAACAGTGATTCTGGTCACAATATTGATCCATCTGAAGTATATGACCAACCTGAGGTGTTGAGCCCTTCCAATTCTATGAGAAGAGTTGCTGTTGTCTCATCAGAGCCCAATCCCAATCCTGACATTCTTAACAGTGACTTTGTTAGCCATTGGCAAAATTTGCAGTACGGGCGATTTTGTCAAAATTCTCGCCATCCTCATTCAGTTATCTATCCTTCGCCTGTTATGGCACCTCCTGTTTATTTGCAGGGCCGTTTTCCTTGGGATGGTCCTGGAAGACCACTCTCAGCTAATATGAATCTTTTCACTCAGCTTACAAGCTATGGGCCACATCTAGTACCTGTTGCTCCTCTCCATTCAGTTTCTAATAGACCAGCCAATATTTACCAACGGTTGGTAGATGAGATACCACGGTATCGAAGTGGGACTGGAACTTACCTGCCAAATCCTGTAAGATTATTTTCTGAGAAAGTTAGTACTTTGTACAGTAATTTGTTTTTTCTTCCTGCAATATTAGTGTGCGTGCATGTTTGTGTGTACTAAACTAAAGTAGTGGTTCTATTTCTTAACCTATGGTCAGTCTGCTTTCGGTGCGTGCATGTTTGTGTGTACTGATTTTATTACCTTACATTCCAAATTTATTTCAGAAAGTTTCTGTTCGGGATCGAAATTCTACAAGTACGAGAAGGGGTAATTACAACTACGATAGAAGTGACCACCATGGTGACAGAGAAGGAAATTGGAATATGAATTCAAAATTGCGAACAACTGGGCGTGGCCATAATCGCAGCCAAACTGAGAAGTCTAACTCAAAGCCAGAAAGGTTGGCAACAAGTGAAAGCCACGCCGAAAGACCATGGGGTTCACACAGACATGACTCCTATATTTCTCACCAGAATCACAATGGTCCTGTCCGCTTAAATTCCTCACATAACAATTCTGCAAATGTGGCTTACGGAATGTACCCTCTACAAGGCATGAGCTCCAGTGGGGTCTCATCAAATGGACCAACAATTCCATCTGTTGTAATGTTGTATCCTTATGATCATAATGCTGGCTACAGCTCACCGGCTGAACAGCTTGAGTTTGGATATGTGGGACCCATGGGTATCTCAGGTGTCAATGAACTATCACAGCCGAATGAGGGAAGTCAATCTGGCGGAGCATTTGAGGAGCAAAGGTTTCGTGCTGGCACTGCTCAACAATCCTCACCAGATCAACCCTCTTCACCCCAGGTTCCAAGGTAGTTGGCTTTTTCAGTCTCCAACATACCATTTTTGCTTAGGAGAATAACTAAATGAGTGTAGCAGCTTGCACATTGATTTAGTCCTATTATGTTTAGGGTGGTTAGTGTCAGTATTTAATCTTTCTAAATTTGCTGCTTGTCATCCCCTCAATCTTTTAGAGTCCTATCATTTTACCCAAAAGATGTTTTCACTATATAGGTCAAACTCCTTTGCTGAAGAAGTGTCTTGTTTATTTTAATTTTTTTGGAATTTATGATGATTTAATTGGACTGCTTTATGAAGTCTTAACTGAATTTTATGACTTTTTAACAGGGGGCTTTAATTTTATTGGCATATCAGTGGCCAGGGGAAATTATCAAATGAAAGAGGAGGATTGTCCTCTTGCTTATCAAGACCAGGCAGGGGGGAATGTAAGCGGCGAAAACTATGATGTGAAACCCGCCCTTTTCAAGACATTCTTGTTCTCACCCCAATCTTGAAAAGAAAGAACTTAGCTCTATCACTGATTCATCTTTCTTGTGAAGGCCCCTCGTTTGTTCCCCCTGCCTCTTGCATGTACACTTACAGGTGATTAACCCACTTTGTTTACATTTTCCCATCCAAGACCCTGTTTAAGGATGATGATGAAGAACCGTAGTGGCTAAGAGGATGCAGTATTCGGTGATTAGTTTTTCATTTGAGGTTTGGACACAATTGTAACCCAATCAAATTACAACACTGGCTTAGGTTCAGAAATTTAACCATGTTACATTTTTGTCAGCTTCTCTCTCACACAATGTCGTAGCGTAGGGCTTCTGTTTTACAAGATGCAGTAGATCTATGTTGAACTCTTGAAAAATGTCAACAGTGTAACAATAACATTGTCAGAAAAATAATATTAGATGTCATTTGCATGTGGCTTCCTCCCAATCTGCACCCTCTTTCTAAGGAAACCCGTGACTGAATTCAAACAATACTAAATACTGGCCATGACTCGAGCCGGAAGATGGAAATCAGTTCTACTATGTAACAGATGAGTGTCCCAAATCCCAATAGTTTGATATGTCAAACTATGAATAGTGTAAACATAATCTTAAACAACGCAAATTTCTCGTGAAAACGGGCCACTCATGAATCCTTGTAATCTTCATTGTTTGTTTTTGGACTAAGTATAGGTGCAAGGTCGGTCCCACCTGCATGTGGGGTCCGCCCCACATTTATGTGTCTTAGGCTGGCTTTTTGACTCTTATAACTTTTTATTATTAATTAATTACCGATTTGACCTTGATTATAAACTATTTCAAAAATTTAACCTCCTCAAAAAACATAACACCAATCTGCCCCTGTTTGACCGTTGACCACCAAGCTTACCCGGGTACACCCCTCTCTACCCGGGTATTTTTTGAAAATTTTTGTCTACCCTGGTAGAGAAGAGTGTACCCGGGTATTGTTCTTCGCACCTGAGAAATTGCTTGAATTATTTACCCGGGTAGAGAGGGGTGTACCCGGGTAAATCTTCGACTACCCATTTGGTACTTGCTATAACTGGAGCAACTTGTAGCTGATGGATATAAGAACAGATGAATGGTAAGATCGGTTGAGAGTGAGATCGGATGAGATCGACTTCTTAGATCGTAAAATCCCACCGTTCCGGAGATTTTGAAAAAATTCAGAAAACTGAACCCAGAAACCATTGAAGGGACTCAGGGGAGAGAGATAAAGGAAATGATTTAATAACGACATCTTTACTTGCAAGCTGACAATTTCTTGTTGACAGGTTTGGTGTGTTGTGGATTTACATTGCCAAGCTCTTCTCTTTCTTGCTAGGTAACCAAATGTTAGATCTCATCTTAGTTTCAAAATCGATTCGACGGTGATTGTGAGGACGAAGAAGGGGTGGTGTTCACGTTGCTCCTTTTTCCTCAAAATCAAATAAATCATATCTGTTCTTATATCCATCAGCTACAAGTTGCCCCAGTTATAGCAAGTACTAAATGGGTGGTCGAAGATTTACCCGGGTACACCCCTCTCTATCCGGGTAAATAATTCAAGCAATTTTTCATGTGCGAAGAACAATACCCGGGTACACTCCTCCCTACCCGGGTAGACAAAAATTTTCAAAAAATACCCGGGTAGAGAAGGGTGTACCCGGGTAGGCTTGGTGGTCAACGGTCAAACAGGGGTAGATTGGTGTTTTGTTTTTTGAGGGAGTTAAATTTTTAAAATAGTTTATAATCAAGGTCAAATCAGTAATTAATTAATAATAAAAGGTTATAAGGGTAAAAAAGCCGTCTTAGGGTAATAGCACCGCCCTTACGGTCGATATTAGTCAATATCATGTGTGCTGTTTCTTCATTAACATATTTCCTTATTAGCCATCTAATTGATCGAGGTGATGTCTTTAATTTATGCAAAAATCAAATAATGAGAAACTCATAATTTAGGTATCTATGGGTTGAAGTCGCTACTCGCTAGTAAAAGGTTTCTCCTACAAAAAAATACAGACACTGTGAAGAAAGGAGATAGAAGTTGACATGTTGTGGTCCTCCCAATAATTTCTCTAATAAGTTTAGCTAAAGTTGGGTTCCCTCCGTTAGTCGTCAAAATACAAATGGGCACCACGATTGATGTGCCATCCATTCAACTTTTGGCATCTATTTTCTGAGAATTGGATCTTGTGTGAACTCATGGTTTTCTAAGTTGTCTGAGCCATGTGCAACAAAACTATCTCGTGGCATCTATCAAATTGGTTGTCCTTTTAAGGCAAGGCTATGATATACATATATGTCTTCTCTGTTGCTAGTGGCCATATAACAGCACCACACTGTCTGATGACTGCTATCATCTAAATCACAGCGAATTTTTGTGAAGACGACCCTTGACTAATTCATCTTTCAAACTTTGGCCCTTTCTATTTTTATATTGCAGCAATTTTGGTATACAAATTTTTAAATTTACATGTCACAAAGAAGCTTTAATATCATATCATGAAACTTATATAATTAGAAGAAATTGGAGGGAACAAGGTTGCTGAGTTAAAAAAAAAAAAAACATAACAAGAGATAGAAAATAGAAATGAAAAGGACATTTAGTTAAGAGCGCTAATTCTTAACTATTTAGTAAAAGATATGATATTTATTATTGGGAATCAGTTCAACTTCAAATTTTAAGATATTAGAAAAAGGAAATATTATCTCTCTTCTTGTTAAAATATAAAACCAATTATGAATCTTCCCTGCATAGCAACTGAGCTTTCAACTATTCCTTGTTCTTATTTGTCCTTGACTGTAATCATTGTAAAGATTTTTTTTTTTAATTTCCTTTTTTTTTTTTTTGGTTAAAGGAAAGGGTTGATGCACCAGTAGGCGGTAGTGATATATGAAAAGTATCCGTATTGACAATGTTGCATGCACATTTTAGAATTTATTCATTTTTCATATTTGATGAAATGGGGAAAATTTATTACTAAATATTTAATAAGCCTAACCATAGATCTCGATTATGGGATATGAATAAAATAATTAACAATTAAGAATTTAACTTGTGTATACTAATAACGTAAATGAATTTTATAGAAACATGATCATTTATTGTCTTCATTTTAATTCTTTTTTTTTTTTTTTTTGAAAGATTCTTCATTTTAATTCTTGAAAAATAAAGATAATTGTAAATAATATATGTTAAATAATTAATGATTACTATAAAACTTCTTTATATTGATAAAATATATCAATTAAATTTATAAATTAATGTTGTTTGGATTAACTTATTTTGAAATTAAAAAAATGACAACTTCTTAAGAAATAGATTGAAATATTGATAATTTTTCAATATTTAAACTAAATCAAATATGGAATAAAGTCTCTTAATCAAAAAGTTGAAACCGTAGATATTGATTTAAAAAAAAAAGATTGTGGTAGCTTTGCTGTATAAGTTCGTTCAGTTGTCACCCCAGTCTATTTTTTTATAATTTTTTTCGTTATTTATTTGAAAAGCCCGTTACCGCCTCATCATATAAAAAAACATTTTTGATACTTCCGTGATGTCAAAAAATTGGTATATCATTTATTAAAATGGAAAAAAAAAACTCACCAAATATATATTTATAATTTATTAAACTAAGTGTATTTTTATGAGTTTAATTTTTTTTATTTTTGCTAAAGAAAAAATTTATCTGTCACACTCACATAAAAATAAGTCAATTTCACTAATTTGTTCTCTCTTTCTCTTTACAATGAGACCTATTTATTTTTATGTGAGTGTGGTAGAGAAATATTTTATGCAATAAGAGCAAAAATATTTTCTCCTTTTTTATTTTATGTAAACAAATATCTACCACAAAAGTATTTAAAAAATGTCTCCTTATAAGGTTTAAAATTTCTTATATTATAGGAGATATCTCATCTACACATAAAAATGTGTGAGTTCCATGTAAGGTTATCTGAAGAGAAAAGAGAGAAAGAAAAATTTGAATCTCATATACTCTTATATTATCTTCTATAACACGAGAAACTTTAAATCTCTTGTTATATACATTCATATATCACAAAAGAAAACATTAAATACTTTCAAAATTTTAACTACACTTACTTTTATAGTATAATTTGTAGATGAATTAATTATAGGAATGTAAATGAGTAGTTGGTTACTTAGGACATACGACTTGGTCAATGTCAAGATAAGTTTGACTTAATATATTCATTAAAATAAAATAGACTCAAACCTTTTAAAAAAACTCGTTTAGAAAATTTGTCATGGACCTACCTTCATAAAGCCTTGCCTACAAGTTTTTGGATCGATTTATATTATATTATTTATTATAATTAAAATAATATAAAATAAATATTTAAATAATTTTAATTAATAAAATAATAGTAAGATGACAAACTTAATTTGGCTAATAAGGTTATGTCTGACATTTTGGTTTTTTAATATATATCAGTCAAATTTATAATTTAACTTATATCAAGCTAATAACTCAAACCAGACTCAAAAATATTTCACATGGATCTATCTTATTTATACCAAAATCTAATCGAACTCATCTTATTTGCACCTCTAAAATTGAATGTTGAAAATTAACCTAAAAATTAAATTAAATGGGCACATAGGAGAATACACTGGAAGTCGAAAGGCGCGAAAACGACGAAAGAAGAAATTAAGAAAACCAGTACAGGGCCCCATACTATGCACGGGAGAAGAATGGTCACTGTTTGTCATACCATCAGCGTTAATATGAAAATAAAATAAAATAAAGTTTAATTTTGATGTATTATAAAATTATATTAGGCACCTGCCCGATAAATCGATTAGAATATATTTAAAAAAATTATATTAATAATATAATTTTATATGTTATTAAATTTATTAAATGCTATAGTAACATACAATTAAATGACAGAAGAGTTGTTTTATATTAATAAGTGCATATTAAAAATGTAATATAGCATGTGAGTTGAGTAAGTAGAAGGAAAAACATATGTTCGATACTCTCTGGTATCATATTTGGAATAAATTTAAAATTTTAATCATGAATCTGCTCTGAATAAAATTACCTTCCAAAAAAAATATTTGTGATTTATCTAAAAAAATATTATTGTAATATATTCAATAAACAATTTTATGAAGCCAATTAAAAAAGCTTCTAGAATATCAGAACATACTTAACTTACGATCATGACCATCTAACCTAATAAAAAAATGTCACAGCTTTAGATCCATACATTGCCTTTTCATCTAATAATAATAGGTAGCCACATCATTATCTTCAGACTTAGCACTGCATGTTAAAACAAAAGAAATATGTTATTGACATCAATCTAGTTTTATTTTGCCTACTTTAGTTTTATATATATATATATATATATATATATATATATATATATATATATATCGATTATTTAATTAATGTGATTTGAGTTGGG